TCTGTCTTTCTGACCATCTGTCTCTCTGACCTGTCTCTCTGACCTGTCTCTCTGTCCTGTCTGTCTCTCCAGGTGTCAGATTTCGTTCAGTCCCTCCCCGGTTGTGAAAAACAGGCGAAACAGTTCAGAGATGAGGTGAGACGACCAATCAGCTTCTGTAGATTTAATGACATCACCTTCAACCTGATGTGATCTGATTGGTTCTTTTCTGTCTGGCGTTTAGCAAATTGATGGGCGGGCCTTCCTCCTGCTCACTCAACGTGACATTGTGAGGATCATGTCAATCAAACTTGGTCCCGCGCTCAAGATTTACAACTCAATCCTCATGTTCAAACACATCACAAGCCAATCACACACTGAGGACATGTCCCAATCACACACTGAGGACATGAGCCAATCACACACTGAGGACATGAGCCAATCACACACTGAGGACATGAGCCAATCACACACTGAGGACACCCTCAGGTAACAATGATGAGTCAAGCTGGAAACACCTGATACTTGACTCCACCTCCACTCCTCCATCCAATCATCAAGCAGATATCACTGTGATTTCACAACAATGATCTCAGGTGTGTTCCTGTCAATTGTGACGTTCACGTTCTTCGTACATGAGTAAAAGAACTATTGTGCATATTATCTCATTTTTTTAATCACGAGGTCCGAGGATGTTTATACAAGTACAAACCGAGAGTTTGTCTTTTAACATTTACGGATGAACGGAGAAGAAAACGCATCTGAATTCTTCCATGTTTGTGACCTGGGGACGTTTTGCAGCACTGGATGAAATCGGACCAAATTTCTAACCAGCATGCATTGTGGTAGGACCAGCATGCATCACGTAAAGGTATATATTGAAAGGTGTGAGTGGTGTCGTTAGTTTTCATCAATATAGAGAAGTGATTGTTTTCTACTGTTTCTATAGAGTTCTATTTTAAAGTTTCTTTATAAAAATATATATTTGTATCTCTGACAGGAAGTTCACTCACGTCTGTGATGTAAGAGCTGGGGGCGGGGCTTCTGTTTCCCTCAGGTTTCCATGATAACAGCTGACAGAGTTTAACTGTGATGTGTTTCTGTCACTGTTTGATAGATCAATAAAGATTCTGATCTGATCACTGATTGGTTTATTTACGCTTGACGATGATGATGATGATGTTCAGAAACAAACCTTCATCATCGCTTCAGCTCTTCTTCTGCAGTGTTTTAACAGCAGTGACTGTAGCATCAGTGACACCTGCTGTTCATCAGCAGCAGAGGAGGAAACAATGGCGCTCTGTCAATTATATTGATTGGTTATTATTTGATGAAATGCATTCTGGGAGTCGCAGTTGTCTCGTAGCTTGAGTAATAATGACTCAGTGTGAATTCAGAGTGAGTTTGGATGTATGGTGTCTCATCAGGGACAAACTTCCTCAGTTCGAACAGAAACTCAGATGCTGCAGAGCTGCTCCGCCTCTGTCTCCTAGCAACAACAGCATCACCCACCACTGGTCCAGAATCAGAGGATCCAGGTCTGGACTAGATCAGACCGAGAGAGACAGACAGTTCTGTGAGACAGGTTTACAGAATAAGAGAGAGGGAGGAGCCTGTCTCTCTCTCTCCATCCCTATCGCTCTTCCTGTCTCTCTCTCTCTCTCTCTCTCTCTCTCTCTCTCTCTCTCTCTCTCCCCCTCTCCCCCCCCCTCCCTCTCTCTCCTCTCTCTCTCTCTCTGTCGAGGATTCATCACTGCAGACACACTGAGGGGGAGAGAACGACAGAACAGAGAGGACTGGATGAGACGAGAGATTTAAACGTTGGAGCATCAGGAGGAGAAAAGAAACATGAAACAACAGGAGCCGACAACTGTGAGAACACCTGTTCTACTGGGTTCTACTGGGTTCTATTCTGCTCTGCTGTGGGCTGTGTTGTTCTCTCTCTCTCTCTCTCTCCCTCTCTCTCCCTCGGTCTCTCTGTTATGGATCTGGATCTGTCGTACTGATCGGTTTGTTCTGAGAATGAATATTGATCATTAATATTATCCATACTGTGTTGATCAGAGTGTGTTTAATCAGAAGAGTCCAGCCAGCCTCCCCTGTGGAGGAGCTGCAGTGCATCATGGGAAATGTAGTTCACACACTGAATCGAGACAAGGGCAGTGCATTGTGGGAGTTCAACATTAGTCTGCACACACGTTTTGACAGTTTCCTGTTTCAGTTTGAACTTCCTGTTGTTTTATCTGTTTCCATGGAAACAGCTGAAGTGAAAGTTAATCGATTATTTAGAATGTGACAATTTGTTTCTGACATGTCATGATGGATGTAACGACGATCAAACGCTCTCTCGTGTTCCAGAGCTTTCGACTGTGTCACACCTGTCTCTCTTACAGGAAGTTGGTGGGTGGGGCTTAACCTGCTGAGCCGCTGTGTGATTCGATAGTGATGATCGCGACTGGCGGCCTCCTGCGAATCAACGCCCGGCGTCAGGACTCACTGAGAAACAAAACACACAAACCACACACACACAA